ACCAGCAACGGAACCATTATAATGTAAAGGACAACCTACAAACTAAGGAAAAACTGGAGAGGCACGATACGTACGACAAACAAGAAGAACAAAAACTGGACAAACGGAAAACGTAATCCACGACGAAAGAAGAACAAATCAACAAGACAACAATTACGAAAAGCAAAAATGTATATAAAAACAAATAAAATTTTACTATTAACATTAATCATGACCTAACTCTAAGAAAACATGTAAATATATACACACATAGATATAATGTGTAAATACAAACCTATTGATAATAATCTGAAGTCGACTAGAAGTGATCACTATCTCCCCAAAGAATAAACTCCTACCGTCGTTCTCACCAAATCAAAGACGCACAAAAATTCTTCTTTTTCCAAGTCAAAATAATCCACACACCGCAACCCCAATTGAACGGTCATCCATAACAACCGATACTCCCACACACCGTCCATAAAAACACAGTTAAAAAGAAATCAAACGAACGAAAAAGACAGCAAACGATCTACAAAAATACAAAAAGACGACCGACACATATCAACAAACAACCCCTCGAATAACAATGATATTGCAAATTAGTCACCTGAATCAGAATACATTTAAACCACCGACTCAACCAACCTAAAAAAACGAAAACCCGTAAAAACCTCGGTTAACCCATACACTGTTCAAGATAGGAAAATCAAATAATTTGCATACAACCGTTATAAAATTCACAGAAAACAAAGAACCAACAAATACACATCAATCTGACGTACATAGGTTAGGTCGAGAGAAACATAAACACGGGCCCAACACGGCACCGAAAAAGCATTACAAAAGGCACGCGGACTGAGAAACTTGACGCGCGAAATCCAAACGATAAAGAAAGGAAAAACGACCCCAGACACTCAAACAAACAGAAACGGCTAAACAATAGACGGAAGAAAAAGAACAAAACCAAAAACCAACACAACTAATGAAATTAACACTGACTAAAACAATACAAACGATAGAACGATAATAGAATAAAAACAAGACAAATTAGAATAAAATAATATTTAGACAACGGTTTTTACCCGCAATATATAGAACATAATAAATGAAACATACGAATGCACAACACACAAATATTAACAAACCATCAGAAATTATCACGAAACACCAACATACATATAG